GGTCTTTGTCTTGTAAACCCATTTTACTCCAATTGGGTTATGGCCTTCTGGTTGTCTTGTTAGCTCCCATGTATCATTTCTTCTATTGATGCAATTTCTTCATCCATTGCATTCCTCCATTTGTCATCTTCAACCGCTTCTTCGTATGTTATTGGATCACTGTTCACAAGCAAGCAGAAAAGTGAAACATTATTTAGTTCATAATCGTTGTACCTTTCTGGCATTTTTCTCTCTCTTGTGGATCTTCGAAGTTCTGTGGGAGATGCTTCAGGATCTTCTATTATGTTGCTGGCATCGCTGCTGCTGCTTGACGATGATGGTAGATTTTGTCGAGGATCTTGATCATCATCTTGTTCATCTTGATTGATAAGATCACCATCTTTATCTTCAAAAATAGTCCTTCAACTTTCTTTTCCTCTTCGCTCCATCTCCAATAGTCTGCTTCATCGAACTCGACATCTCTTGAAATTATTATCTTCTTTGTGAGAGGATTATATAATCTGTAAGCTTTGCTTCTTTCATCATAGCCAATGAAAATACATTTTTCTCCTCTGTCATCAAGCTTCTTTCTGGTCTGTTCGGGAACATGGGCATATGCGATGCATCCAAAAATCTTGAGGTGTCCAACTCCTGGTTTCTGTCCACTCCATGCTTCGTTTGGCGTCATATACTTCACGCTTTTGTTGGACATCGATTCAATAAATAAACTGCACATCGAACTGCTTCAGCCCAGAAATTTCTCGGTAGTTGCTTACCTTTTATCATGCTTCTCGCCATATCCAGGATTGTGCGGTTCTTCCTTTCTGCAACTCCATTTTGTTGTGGCGTGTATCTGGCTGTCAGCTGATGGATGATACCATGCTCTTTGCAGAATTCTTCAAATAACTTTGATGTATATTCGCCTCCTCTATCTGAGTATCTTCAAATATTGACCGCTTTGTTTTTCCGACATTGCTTTGAATTCTCTCAATTTTCCAACGCTTCTGACTTTTCTTTCAAGATATAAATCCAACATTTTCTACTAAAATCATCAATGAAAGTTAGGTAGTACCTGTTACCGCCAAGCGATGGTATGTCAAAAGGACCGGCTATATCTGTGTGTACTATCTCCAGTGGTCTTCGGGCACGCCAGGATCTACCAACTTCAAAGCTTTGTCTATGTTGCTTCCCTTTGATGCAAGCCTCACATAATTGATTTGGAGGGTTGATCTCTGGTAGTCCTTTCACCATGCTTGTTTTTGACAACAGCTTCAATCCAGAAAATCCAAGATGTCCATATCTTAGATGCCATAGCCATGAATCATCTTTGATCGCGGTCTTTATGCACATTACTTCTCCTGACTCGATATCAATTGTAAAGAGACGATTTTGAGTCATATCAGCTTGGGCTATCAATTCTCCTTCTTTATTTTGATGGCGAGCGAGCGATTCTTCATCTGCACTTCATATCCTTTTTCCAGGAGTTGACCAAGACTGATGATATTGCTTTTCAAAGCAGGTACATAATAAACATCTGAAATATATTCTTTTCTCCATTTTTCTGAGTAATCATGACTTTGCCTTTTCCTTTTATTTCTGCGTGCGAGTCATCTCCGAACGTTACTCGTCCATGAACTGTTTCATCTAATTTCACAAACAGTTCCCTTTGACCACACATATGGTTACTGGCACAATTATCAAGATACCAAATATTTTTCTTGAATTCTTCATTTCCTTTATAAGTGAGGAATACGTGAGATTTTCAATTTTTTCTTCTTCAGCTGCTGCTACGTTATTTCTTTCTTCTTGTTTAGGAGCAGATCTACACTCATAACTATAATGACCATACTTATTGCAATTATAACATTGTACCTGGAATTTACTTCCTTGTTGATATCTGCCCCTACCTCGGCCTCTGAATCCTCGTCCACGACCTGATGTTGGATTGCTTTCACTCATTTGATCGGTGCTATGTGATCGACCACCACGTCCACGAGTTCCTCGTCCTCCTCTATATCTTCCACGATAACCACCACGATTTCCTCGTCCTTGTGTGTAGCTGCTGCTAGCTTTTCCTTCGTTGACATTCATCTTGCTTTGTAGAGCTTGCTCCAAATTTTCAGAATCCTCATTTTGTTTCATTTTCTGCTCATGGGCTTGAAGTGAACCCACAAGCTCATCAATCGATATCTGAGATAAATCTTTTGATTCTTCGATTGCCACCACCACGTAATCGAATTTTCTTGTTAATGACCGCAAAATTTTTTCCATCACTCTAACATCATCGAGTGATTCACCATTTCTTTTCATTTCATTTACGACCGTTTTCACACGGCTAATATAATCATCGATGTTTTCTGTATTTTTCATTTTTAGCATCTCAAACTCAGCACGGAGAGTTTGTAAGCGTACCTTCTTTGCTTTTTCGACACCTTGTAGAGATTTTTGCAAAATCTCCCACGCTTGTTTTGCGGTCTTTGCATCAGAAATTTTTTCAAAGGTAGATTCGTCTACTCCTTGAAAAATAAAGAACAATGCTTTTTTATCTTTTCTCCGGGATTCCTTCAATACCTTCTTTTCTTCATTGGCCAAGGCTGCTTCTGCTGCTGTATTTTCAGGCTCGGTGTAACCATCCTCGATGATATCCCAACAATCTTGGGACCCTAGTAACGCCTTCATTTGAATGCTCCAATTGCCATAATTTGTCTTTGTCAATCTCGGGATTTGAGGTTGAATCATGTTGGCCATCTTCTCCACCACGTTGAACTCGAACCAAGCTCTGAGGCCACTTGTTGGAAGCGTAGATGGGCTCACGATAATTTATAACACTCAGAAAATTCTATTTATACGAAACAAAATATGTTACAACGACACTCTCAATATTACAATACTGCAATACTAGCTGCTGCTAGTTTACAAACTCACCAATATATTTAAAGCTTTGCTAAGCTTCACAATATATCTCTCAAATCTCTTTATTTTTTTACTCCTCAATCGTATTTACGCTCACTCACTTTTTTATTCACGCTCACTACTTCACACCAACTAAAGGCTAAGCACACATATATATAGGTTGTATAACCGACTTATTTGAGGACCTCTGGATGCTTCTCAACTTCTCTCCTTAATTCTTGCTTGACATGTTGCCGTGTGAATTCAAACAATTAAAGAAAAATCTTTGCCGACATATGCATGTGTGGTTTAGTGTACTGCCAAGCATTTCCACTTTGTTTTGTTTACTTGTGAATCTATCTTCATTTGCCACGTTGAACTTCTACACAATTCCAAGAGTTTGACTTCTAACACACCTGAGGGTGGCGGCTGAGTTATTCGACAAGTGATTAATGGCTCGTGTTCTCGAGCCAATTATGCCTCATTTATCTTGAATAATGACTCATTTTGTCTACATCTAATCAGATAGATTTAAATCAAACAAAACTTCATGGTAGAGATAAATTAAGAGGGAGGACAGGTAAAATCGTCCCTAAAAATTTAAAATTATTATATATTTTAGATTTTTTTATATTAAAAATTTATTTTAAATTCCAATATACATCCCTTGTTCTTGGGTTTGCAAATAGGATTATGACAATCATTTCTCGATTCAACACATTAATTTTAATCATATATTAGACGAATAACATATCATTTTAAATCACAGAGTGTAAAATGTTACATCTTTCGTCATTTCATAAGAATTTCACTTTAAGGTTCTATGTAGCATATAGAACATCATTTTTTTTCGTTTCCTAATAATTAACAACACCTATGATTTGATGAGCTAAACTAACTTATCAACTCGATTAATTTAATTTTTTTACTCAAATAAATTTTACAGAATATTTATTTCTAATATTTACTTAATATACATCTCACAATGTATATCTTTTACTAAGGATAGCTAAGAGAAGAATCTTTTGCTGTTGGCCAAAGTAGGCGGAGAAAATTTGTTTCAAGGGTTACAAAAGAAAATTTAATTTTGAGAATTAAATTTAGCATCACATAGGATTTAAGGTAATCCTTAATATCGTATTTACATTTCTTTAGAGTTATAATTAAATAAAATAAATATTTTTAAAATACGTTTGAAAATCAATTTTTAAACCAAGTATAAAAAACTAATTTTTTTATTTTTATTTTTGAAAAAAGATTTTGATGTAAAACTTATAATTTTTTAGGCGTTTATTTTATAATAAATTATTTATGAGTTTAATAATTTTATATCTAATCATATTTTTAGATAAAACATTTTATATATTTTTATAAAATATGTATATTATAAATTTATTTTTTAATAAAAATATTTTATCACAATTTTAATTGTGTATCTTATAAAAGGATTTTCTTTAACATTCTTTAAAAAGAATGCTAAATTTCCGATAGAGTATAAGTGAAGTGAAATGTCGCGTATTTCGAACCTTGGACCTGCGTTGCGTCAGCTCTGATTCCCTCAAATCCGTATTTTACGAATCCACAATTAACGACGACGCGGATACTCCTCCACCAACCCAAACATGCCACCTTTCGTTTTTTAATTAATCATTGATATCCGATTTATTGATCGACTAATCTAGATCGGATACTGTAGAGGTAATGACGACTCTCCCAATCTAGTTTGCTCCATTCGCAAATATCAGGATTCGAATTTCTCAGGAACTTAATATCTTATTCTATTATATCAATTAATTGTTATTATTTGAGGCGTTTTTAGTAATTTACCTGTCCCAACATTTCCCACTCAAAGTCCGAAAATACCCTTTCTGTTGTCTTCGAACAAGCATAGAATCAAAACTCTTGCCTTTTTTTTTCTGATTAAAGATAAATAATAATAATATAACGGCAAAGAAAAGTAGGAAAAGACAAAAGACAAAATGAAGAGGAATTTATACGAATAAAAGAGAAAAAGTAAAAAAGAAATTTTCCTATATTTTTTTTTATAAAATAAACATATATACGATTTCAGCTTTTCCTGTATAAATTAAATAAGATTCTACAAATCTAACGTCTCAAAATTAATCATGACATTTTCCAATTTTAAAAATTTAATATTCACTGTAACATTAAATAATGAGTTTTCTTTATAATTTCATTTCCTCAACCCTTCTCTTTCTCTGTGTCTGTCGAACTTTTTTGTTTTCTGTTTGCCTGACTCGAATTTCTATTTCATTCTTTTCTTTTATCGTTTTCTCGCCGCACTTCTGTTCCTGCTATCAGATCAGGTAGGGAAGGGAGGAAGGTTAGTAGAGCCATCCCATGTGTGGACTTTTGACTTTGCTGTGATCGGAGGGGGTTTAATATAGGATGGGGCAGTGTTACGGAAAAGTTAATCAATCGGGAGGAAATGAAGGGACGACCACCACAGTGGTGGTTTCAGCTGATCGGGATGAAACTTCGGTACAATCGGCTAATGGTGCTGCTAATGTTCCTTCAGTGAAGAATACTCCAGCTAGGTCTTCGAGCCAGAGTCCATGGCCCAGTCCGTATCCGCACGAAGTGTCTGCAAGTCCGCTTCCTCCGGGTGTATCGCCTTCTCCGGCGAGGACCTCAAGGGGTTCGACTCCGAGGAGATTCCTCCGGAGGCCGTTTCCGCCGCCTTCTCCTGCGAAACACATAAAGGCCTCTCTGGTGAAGCGGCTTGGCGGTAAGCCGAAGGAAGGACCTATTCCTGAGGATCGGGGAACTGAGCCGGAGCCGGAGCAAGCGTTGGATAAGAACTTTGGTTATGGCAAGAATTTTGGAGCTAAGTATGAGCTTGGAAAAGAAGTCGGGAGGGGACATTTTGGTCACACTTGCTCTGCTAGAGGTAAAAAGGGTGAGCTCAAGGATCAACCTCTTGCTGTTAAGATCATCTCAAAAGCTAAGGTACACCGCTCGCTCTTCTACTAATTTCTCCGTTTTTCATTCTTTATTCAACGTAATTTTAGCCGATTTTATATATTCTTGAGATATTTAGGTTGTTTTCTTAATGCATTTGAAGGCATTGTTCTTAAATTGGATTTCATTACAACATTCTTAAGAGAAGGTCCTTTAATTATGATGGTATTGTTATCTATTCGGAACAATAGATAGATGCTTGTCTTCTTGATTCAAGTAAACCCTGCCGGAGTAGTTCTTCTTAGTTGAAGAATATAAGTTAGATAAGCTATACTAATTATAGATCGATCATGATCATTGATATTTGGCAATTGCATGAGCTGTATAGGATATGCAAGAGTTTAAAGGATACTGTTGCTTTGATTAGCCGTGTCTTGTCTTTTTTGTCGGTTAGGGGAAAGCGCAATCGCGATTGTAATTCTGGAAGACCGAAAGAAGACAAAGGTGGATCTCTCTTTATTTGAGGATCATTTAGTGCCTGTAGCAATAATACCGTTGAATTGAGATCTTTTGTATCTAAAGTCTAAAATGGAAATGCAAACTGTAGCCACATCAAGCACAATAGAATTAGGTTGGAATGAAAACTTTGTTTCTCCAATGGTAGATTTTTGGTGTAATATCAACGTTTAATACCCTAAATTCTGCCTACATAATGGCATTGCAGGTGGTTGCATGTGTGGTTGACAACCCTGTTTTACCTTTTTTTTTTGTCAAAGTAACTCTTCTATGTTTATGACTTGGAATCATTCCAGTTTTCTTCTTTTTTCTCATAATTTAAGTAGATAATTGTTCTGTAGTCTGCATTATACTTGTAGTTAACTTTCCGATATAATTCTTTTATCTTTCTCTTTTTGATTTCCTTTTCACAGCTAAGTTCTAGAAAAAGTGATCAAATGTGTTGATTGAGAACAGGGCTTGGCTTGGCTTGGTAGCTTCTCCCTTCCCTTTATTGGGGTGGGGAATTTAATAGGACTAGGGTCAAATTCCATGCCCTGTATCCCTATGGGCTATGCTCTTTTTCCTCAAGGGCAAAAATGATAAAGTACGGACTTTTAATTGCATTGACTGCATTTTAACCAGGTTTATTTGACAGATGACAACAGCAATATCAATTGAAGATGTTCGAAGGGAGGTGAAAATATTAAAAGCACTATCAGGACATAAGCATCTGGTTCAATTTTATGATGCATGTGAGGATGCCAATAATGTGTACATAGTCATGGAGTATGTCTTCTCTCGATTTTGTTAAAATTTGTTGTAGGAAACTGTTTGATTATGAATTATCCTTTCTAGTTTCATTTTTTATCTTCAAGTTAGTTCCATTCCCGTTTTTAGTAGGTGTTCTTTCATAAATTTTTGAACCGTTGCGCATGCTGAATTTAAAAAAAATAATATCTGGTCAAATTTGCTCCGCAGAAATTCATGTAATAGTCCAACTGCAGCATCATAAAATATTGTATTTTTTAAATATTGGCCTTACCGCTGTGGAATTCTGTATCTTATCAGATTGTGTGAAGGTGGAGAGCTATTGGACAGAATTTTGGCTAGGTAAGTTGTTCTGTGTAGTTTATGTGATTTAGACCAACTTTTAAGACATTGTATTTTAATATCGACTATCGTTAGCTTTATAGAAAATAGAATATCCCAACCTTTTTGTTCACTGCCTTCCCCTTCCCCTCCCCCCCCCCCCCCTTCTCTCTCCCAACACCTCCCACACCCCCAATTTTATTTGACATATAGAGAAGACTAAAGCCCCCTATTGTGATTAGGTAGTTATGTTGAACACTGAGATGAAAATTTCTCTATTACAGGGGAGGAAGGTACACTGAGGAAGATGCAAAAGCTATAGTTGTACAAATTTTAAGTGTGGTTTCATTTTGTCATCTTCAAGGAGTTGTGCACCGTGACTTAAAACCAGAGGTTTTTACTTTTGCATTTGATTTTTATGGATTGTGAAGATGTAAATTATATATTCTGGCTTACATCACATCTCTGATTCTATTTTTTGTTGCTTGAGCTACAGAACTTCCTTTTCACTTCTGGTGGTGAAGATGCTGACATGAAACTGATAGATTTTGGTCTTTCTGACTTTATTAGGCCAGGTAATGGCTGATCATACCTTAAACTTTAGCTTGGTTCACCAATGAACTTACCTTCATTACTCCTGTAATGCTATCAAATGAAAGACTATTATCAATGATAATAATCAACCACATATATTTTGGTTTGCTTCTTTCTAGATGAGTGATGTTCTTAGATTCTTATATGATAATTGAGTTTAGACCTACAAATTTTCTGTAACATACTAACACCTCTGTTTTGCTGTAAATTGGAGAATAAATTAAGTTGTTTTCATACATATAAAACCTTAAATCCCTAAGCCCTATTGATGCGGAATTTTGTACGGTATTACAATTGGCATTTAAGTATGCCTGCACATGTTTAAATGAGTTATTAATTAAGAAATAATGTAATATGAAGCAGATAAAGTTATGTTGGATGTCAATCAATTTTTTTCTTATGATGATCATATATCATTAGACTGAATGTATAACCACAGCTAGTACTAGTAGTCTGTTTTCTTTATTTAACTTGTGTCCAGTATGTTTGTAACAGATGAAAGGCTCAATGATATAGTTGGAAGTGCTTATTATGTTGCTCCTGAAGTTCTGCATAGATCTTATAGTCTGGAAGCAGATATATGGAGCGTTGGAGTAATCACCTACATCTTGTTATGTGGAAGCCGGCCTTTCTGGGCACGTACTGAATCTGGAATTTTTCGTTCTGTGCTAAGATCTGATCCCTATTTTGATGATTTGCCCTGGCCATCTGTCTCGCTGGAGGCCAAAGATTTTGTTAAGAGACTCTTGAACAAGGATTACAGAAAAAGAATGACTGCCGTTCAAGCTTTAAGTGAGTTTGGAATATGTGCTTAACTAGTAAACACATGGATTTTACCCCATTGTGGAAATTATTAATTACATTTGTCCAACAAGCTAGTCACTTTTAGGTTTAGCCTGTATCAGATGAATTATGATACACTTAATTATGATATTTTGCCTATTCTGGAACTGATTAATTACATTTGTCCAGGAAGCCAGTCACTTTTGCCACCGGTTGGCACTAAGATTAATTAATTCACTTTTATGACATTTCAGCTCATCCTTGGTTGCGTGATGACAGTCGTCCTGTCCCTCTTGATATACTGGTCTATAAGTCAGTTAAGTCATATCTGCATGCAACACCATTCAAACGAGCTGCTCAAAAGGTATAGTTTTTCTCCCTTATTTTTTCTGATAACAGGAATGCACCATTAGCTTTTTGAACCTTTTCTTTTCTCCCCGGGTCCAGCTCATTTCCTCTCTCTTACGATATCTTTAAGGTTATTTCTTGCTCTAGGTTGCCAAATGCTTTGCAGCAAGCTGCAAAAATCCTAGTTAAATCTTTAGATCGATATAGAAAATAGCTCAGTTGAATTAATAGTGTGGTTTTTCTACTATCCAATTATGTAAAACCATCAAACATCCTTGTCAACTGTGAACTTTTTGTGGATGGTAATGCCATAAATGCAGGTGTTCTAAATTATAATTGTTATTTTCAGGAGAACACTATCTTAATTAAGATCATTGTTATATCATATTGGAAACATTTTCTGCAGAAGTTAGGTTTTTGGCTATTTTGTGTAAAAACAAACTCCTCTTGCATTTCTTATACCGTGCAAGTCTTTAATTTATTTTGGTGGAATGTTTGACTGCGAAATAAATTGTGAGAATCTTCTTCTGAAGCAGTTAACCATGATATCCATATAAATATGATTGTTTTTAACTTCGTAAATCTTGTAGTATGTGCACATGTGCAGGGACGGTTGGATTAACATTTATTTTTCGGTCACTCTCTAACTTGTCTTTGTTCATATTGTAGGCTCTTTCAAAAGCATTGACCGATGATGAGCTGGTTTATCTCAGAGCACAATTCACGCTGTTGGAGCCGAATAGAGATAGAAGTGTCTCTCTTGAAAATTTTAAAATGGTAATTGATTGCCTCTATGAACCTAGCAATTCAAGTTTTAAGACTAAAATGGTTAATGATTTCAAGCTGATCTCTCTCCAATTCTTTGGCATCTCATGTTGACTTAATTAGACTATTATAGGGCATCTAAGTTATCCGTCTTTTTCACAGGGCCAGCTCTAAGGAGGAGCACCCTGAGCAACCGCACAAGGCCTCCATTTTTTTGTATTTATAATTAGGGACCCCAATTTTTTATATTTATAACTAAGGCCCCTAATTTTTTATAATTTCATAAAATTTCTAGTTTTTTACCTCTTTTACCATTTCTCTTATTAATTCATTCAATTTTGAATTAAATTTAACCAATTTTTTATATTTATAATTAGGGCCCTTAATTTTTAGAATTTCATAAAATGTTTAGTTTTTGACCCTCCTTTTCCATTTCTCTTATTTATTCATTGAATTTTGAATTAAATTTAATCATAATTTTCTCTTTTTTCAAATCTAACTCTTCAATTTATCAAATATTCTTTAATTTTTAGCCTTCTTCAATCTCAATCTAACAATAAAATAATATACAATTCTTTTTTTTTATTTATTTATTATTCAAAATCAAGCTATGTATCATACATGTATTCAATTTTTTTATATTTTATTCTCTTTTAGATGTATTTAAGGTGTTTTATAAAATAATAAAAATATTACATTTTCACAAAATTTAATCATTTTTCTATGATTTATTTATGCAATATTGAATTAATTGTTCAAAGTAATGAAATATACTTTCATCTTATAAAGACATATTTTTGAGTTTTTGCTCAGGGCCCTGAAAATGAATGTCTGAGACGGCTCTGCTTGTTCCCCACTTTTTTTAGGGCCCTTATCTTTGATCTCTCTGTTTTTCTTTTTGGTGGTTATTTTATATAACCTATAAAATATTTATATGACATCAGCTTATCAATTTTTCAGGCACTTGCTCGAAATACTACTGACGCAATGGGTGAATCAAGGGTACCAGACATTCTTAATAATGTAAGGCTCTTACTAGATCTGTGTAGCAACTTATATTATGCTCTCTTCTCACGGTTTAGTGTTTTTGGTTAGACATTTTATACGAGTCTTCATGGCATGAAAAAATGGTTCTCATTTAAAATTGCTTTGTTAAATGTTCAAAATTCTGCCTTTTAATGATTGTGCTTTCTCCGAATACCACATGACAATCTCCACATCCCCCTACTTTGATCTTCATTTGCCAAGTGAATTTCAGTTCCTCACCATTGCATTGCATTTCTGCTCAGTTGGGAACACTTGCATATAGGAAAATGTACTTTGAAGAGTTTTGTGCTGCTGCAATTAGCACACATCAATTGGAAGCAGTTGAAGGTTGGGAGCAGATTGCATTCGCGGCTTTTGAACATTTTGAACAGGAGGGCAATAGAGTAATCTCAATTGAAGAATTGGCGAGGGTATTTTGCTTGTTGCTTCCATGCATCTAAGTGTCTCACTACCTCATTTTGTCTTCTTCTTCTTCTTCTTGTTATGCAGTTTTGACTCCTTTTGGTTTGATTGCAGGAGTTGAATGTTGGCCCTTCAGCTTATTCATTCCTCAAAGACTGGATCAGAACCTCCGATGGAAAGCTAAGTTTACTTGGGTATACAAAATTTTTACATGGTGTGACGCTTCGTAGCTTAAATACAAGGCATCATTAATCTATAACCTTTGGATATATACAGTTCTTAAAATTCATGGCATTTAGAAATGACTTGTGATAATTTTTTTCAAAAAGTTATTTTTGCATTAGGAGGAAAAATGTGCATAAGTGAATATTATTAGTGAGATCGTTGAGGAAAATTTACAGTGAGAATATGGTTTTTGTTGGTTCCATTTTGTTTCATATTGTGCATTTATGTATTTGGATTTGAGCCAAAGACACGGTGCCGAAGCTATTTCTCTCTCTCTCGACACAAAACTAGATCTAAGCCTAAGTGGACAGCTGTTCGGTCTCCAGCAGCCGGCTGCCCCGTTTCCTCCTTTGTTGCTCTCAGGAAAATATCCCCTCCAGTGGGTTTTTGTAACCTATGTCGATTGTATCTTTTTGGATCTGTCTAGCGTGTTGGTAACGGATCAGGGGTTTCCATGTGGATGAGCGGTCAATGGAAACTGTTCTTTCATTTGAGACCAACCCACTGTGAACTTATCTCTGTTTTGCAGCCCGTTACTCTTCAGGGTCTCTGGATCCAGGCTTTTGCTAACACGGCTGTTGCTTCAGTGATGGTAGGCTCTCCATTTTATTCTACTGTTCTTTCATTTGAGACCAACCCAGCCCTCCTTGTGGACGGGTTTTGGTTCAACACTTCTGTGGAGGACTTGAGTCCCATTATTCTACTTTGGGTTGCGTAAAGGCACCATCCGTTTGTTTCTGCACCCGACAATGGGGTGCTAAGCGTTTTCTCCATCTAATGAACCCTTTTGAAGGGTTATCCTTCCCGATCCCATATGTTCTATTTTGATGTTTGGATTATTTATTCGTTTAATGATATGAACCTTTCTTTAAAAACTTGTACTGATAACAAAAAGTGCCACGTCGATTGTGTACTTAATTGTACATTATGTTTGCTTCCAAATTTAGATGAAATTGATCTTTTAATGATGTGAAACCAATGGCTCTTCAATTTGACTTTTGGTATATAGATGCCCTTATTTGTCCCCTTACAAGATCCCAGGAGACCCTTAATTATTATTATTGTTATTATCTGATCCGGAGTGCGGAATGAAGATTGATAAAGTTTGAATCTGAAATTTAATATGAAAAAAAACTGGTAAAATGGTACATGAGGCTCTTGTACTTTTTCAAAAAAATCGACGTGATCGTCGAATTATTTTCATTTAATGTGACCCTTAAACTTAGAAAAATAACTCAATGTGGTCATTTTACCAATGGTTTTGCCGTTGACAGTTATGATTAATGTTGCCGCAACAGTCCACGGTGGATGATGGCATGGCTAATGATGTGATATATGGGTTAAATTGATTTTTTTTTAAGTTTGAAGGCTAAATTGATTTTTTTTAAGTTCAAGGGCTTATTTGTTTTTAAATTACAAATATATGTTAAGCCTTTTAGTCCTTTGATTTTTATTTTCAACCCCTCTTAAAATTTGATTCCTTCAATTAAGCATTTTATTTTTATCACTCTGTATTATTGTCATTATTTTTGGAACACATAATAATATTAGGAAGTATGCTAGAGCGTATATATTTTAAAGTTAATTGTAAATTTTAATATATCTAAAGAAAATTTTGATATTAGTATGTTATAATACTAGAAAATATATTTATGAATTAATAAATTTGTGATTAAATAATATAAATTTAATTGAATGAGAATTATTTGTAATATAATATAAATAATTGTTGAGAACTCATTTTATTCTTATTAGTATAGAGATTTTACTCTATTTTTAAATGATGTATTCTTTATTTTTGTATACTTGATATTTTTTTTACTTTTTACTCATGTTTAATTTTTCTTAATTTATAGTAAATATTTATTAATTTTAATATTTTACTTAATAAATAATATTAATAATTAATGATGTTTTTATATTTAACTTAATATTTTTTATATTTTCAATTTAAAATATTTTTTAAAATTTATCAAATAAGCCCTTAAACTTTAAAAAAAATCAATTTGACTCTCAAACTTGAACAATTTAACCTATTATGCCATGTATACTTTCACGTGTTTCTCATTTTATTCTTTTTGACTTTTACAACTTTCATTAAAGGCTACACAATTAATTGGTAAATACTCACGTACGACAGCCTTAATATACTACTAAAAAAGGTGTTATTGATTTTATTATTATTTAAATAACAAAATCGGTAAAAAATGACCGGAAACATTATTAGGTACTATCGGTTTTGTTATTATTGGGATTTTTACCGGATTTGGTAAAAATGACTGAAAATATTATTAGACGCTACCGATTTTGTTATTGTTGAGCACTTTTACTAGAAATGTTAAAAAATTAATATTTTAGGTAAACATAATAATTTTTTAAATAATTTTTTTTTATCAATTTTATTATTTAAACAATAAAAAAATTGATATCGCCTTATTTTGATATTAAGGTGCCATACTCTTTACATTCCCAATTAAATCCTTCACACGTACTCTCTATATATAGACTCCACGTTACAATTCTCTTGCCCTCCAATAACTAATCAATTTTTCTACCTTGGGTCCCACTCATAACAAAAATCAGCTGCCACCCTCACTACGGGACCTACTAGTCACCAATCACTCCATTTTATATTATCAACCACTAATATTCACCCTACTTATCAATACTCAAAGGGTCGGTTTTGGGCATGTGCGAGGTGTCCAATCGCACATGGACTAATTTTTGTAAGAGCCTTCAAATTTTTTAAGTCTTGTATATATGTGTATTTATGATGTTTGACTTAAGAATTTTCAAGTCCAAGACCCATATTATTACATGAATATATTTTTTTACAATTATTTAACGTTTTCTTATAGTTATAATAAATTTTAAAATATTAGTGAAATTCTTTATATATCTAATATTTTAGTTTTAAAATGTCTATTTTACTGTTATGGCATAGGGCCACCAAAATTTACAAGACGGCTCTGAATACTCAACACTGCTAACGATATTAAGTTTGTGACGAAATGTTGAAAACGAAGTATTGGAGAGTAGCTTGGTAAATCTATTCGCCAATTGAAAATGACTCGACACATATTTAATACACACTGCTCCATTCAATACTCGTTCCCGAACAAAATGAACGTCAAACTCCACATGCTTAGATTGAGCATGAAAAATAGAGTAAGCACTCATCGTTATCGCACTCGTGCTATCACTCCATACAATTGGAACCATAGTAAATTTAATCCCCATATCACCAAGAAGTGATTGCAGCTATATGATTTCTGACACAACATTAGCTATGCCCCAGTATTCAGCTTCTGTAGTCGAACGAGATATAGACCTTTGTTTCTTTGGACACCAAAAAATAAGATTATCACCAATATATACGTAATAATCAGAAACAGATCGACGATCATCAAAATTACTTATCCAATCTGCATTCAAAAAGGACGTACCCGAAGATCATCACTAGAAGCTCGAAATAACAACCCATAGTCTATTGTACCACTCAAGTAACGTAAAATACGTTTGACGACCAACAATACAACTCACCTGGTTGATGCATGTATTGTGAAACTCACCTGGTTGATGCATGTATTGTGAAACACGTCCAACACTAAACGAGATATCAGGTTGAGTATAACTAAGATACAACAATCCATCAACAACACTACAATACAACTCTGGATCATTAAGAACTCTACGACCATCCCGAGACAACGTGGGAGAATGCAACATCGGGGTTGGAGCAGGGCTAGCATCGCTCATATCAGCACGCTCCAACAACTCTCAAATGTATTTTCGTTGACTTAAAAGTAAGTACCCTTCACCGCGATTAACTTAAAGGCTAAGAAAAAATTCAAATCACCAAGATCCTTTAAAGAGAAGTCCTTACTAAGAACACGAATCATATCTTCAACGAGATCATCATTATTCCTAGTGATAACAATGTCATCAACATAAATAAGAACATAGACACACTGAGTCCCATCCCGCTTCATAAATAGAGACAAATCGACTTGACTACCAATAAACCCATTGTTAAGTAAAAAATTATGAAGCTTCACATACCAATTTCGAGGTGTTTGTTTTAGCCCATAGATAACCTTTTGAAGTTTGCACACAAGATGTTCACCTATAGTAAATTCTTGTTCAAATCCAAGTAGCTGAACCATGAAAACTTCCTCAACCAAATCACCATTAAGAAAGTGTTATTGACATCAACTTGTCAAAGCTTCTAATTATGTTGAACTGTTAAAGCGAGAACAACATAAACTGTTGACGCTTTCACAACCGGGCTAAACGTATCTCGAAAATCTTGACCCGAAACCTGAGCAAACCCTTTGCCACCAAACAGGCCTTATATCGAGCTACATAACCATCTGGATTTTTCTTTATTTGAAATAACCACTTACAACCAATGGCCATTCGATTTCTGGTAAAAGAACCGCTTTCCACGCTCATTCTTGATAAACGCATCATTCTCATCCATGACCGCTTGCTTCCATTTAGGAGAAGCAAGAGCTTGTCGTATCGTTGGCAGTTCAATATCCAAGCTACTCTCTACTGCATGAAACGCTCTCGGCTTAAAAACACCCGCTTTACCTCGAGTCACCATAGGATGACTATTTTGAACTGCAGGCAACGACTCGGATAAAGGAATTTGAGATTCTTCACGACTACCAAATTCAATTTCATCACGCCTAAGCAGAGCACTTTACTTGCCACACAAATTAAGTGAATTGTGCCCTGGCCCACCTTGTAGTTGATTTGAAGCCATACCATCAAAGGAACGCCCAGGCACCGAAACACCTCTATCATTGCACAACAAAGCAAGATTCAATGTAGCCCCACGTGTAGACTCAACATGAGAGCCACTCACAAACAATTCACAAGGATCCGAGGAAGCAAGCACGAGATCCAAGGCAACCTCACGTGTAGACGCAACATGAGAGGTATCCTCATGTAACACTCTAGACGTTAAAGAAGTAGCCACTACCCCCGGGCTAGAGACCACTGTGTCAACATCACCCGTGCATGAAGGTACCATGGGTTCACACATATTTTCAATGAGCAGAACAAGACACCCCCACCTTCTGTAGCCATACTACCCAAGTTACCCAAGTCTTCATGCACACCTTCAGTAGAAGCTTGATAAAGATCATTACACACGGGCAACATTCGTAACAATTCCACAACCCCGGACAAGAA